CAATGTTGCACAAATTATCATTAGAATCGCTTGAAATAGCTTGAATATGCAATTGTTTAAAATGTGTTTTAAAGAGCCTTTCTTATTAACATTTAAGCCAGAGAGTACCTCATACATAATTCATTTAATATATGAGCTTAGCTTAGTTTTAAATCTTGCAGAGTCTAATAAAAATTACAACAAAATGTAATGATATTCACCAAAATTCCATGTACTTAAAACTAAGTTAAAAATCTGCAAGTTTGTTTACAATATGCACAAATCTACTTTATGGCAATATCTTGCCCAAAGCCTTATTGCTAAAAGTACAAAACCAGCTTATGAAATCCATAAATCTAAATTTAACAATAAATGTTTTATGAAACACAGTATGGAAGTTAGAGGTACTTTAATGACAGTTAAAAAAGAGAAAGTCTTATCAAAATGTAATCAAAATCACTCACCTGTTCGGATATCGCTCTCCAGCCTAAGTCCGCCATTCGATCGCATTCGTAAGTTTCACCAAGCAGTGGATTGAAAGGCTTGTTAGTTCTAAAAACATAAACAACATTAGCAAAGTAGACTGTAGTATGCCAATAAAAACAAATTTCGAAAAGAAACAGACATTTCTCAATAATCTAAGCACAAAACCATCAAGTTTCTTGGTGCATATATTTGGCTAACAAAATATGTGTCCAGGAACTAAATAGCAAAAGTATATAAATATTCAACTCATGTGTTCAGTGAAGACATCAGACTACTGACTGCTGACCTTAAGGTCATATCTAATACTGATTGACGTCAAAACAAATTAAAACTAAAAATAATATCGAAGAGCTCTTCCTATTTCATTTCATGATTAATTGAATTTTATCATCAGGTTTGGATAAAGATTGAAAAATAATATAAATGGTCTAAGCAAGGTAGTGTAATATTAAGACACTAAATTTTATCTACTACCTGCGTCTTGTAACAATTCATAAATGACATTAAACAAATTTAATATAGAAGATATAGATTCGCGCACGAGGCTTAGTGATACATACAAGCGTTGTGTAAATTTTTTTTGCTTTTTCCGTACTTTTAAGTACTGTTGATTTATTTTAATCTAACATTCGTGTTGTTTTGTCTTGTTTTTAGGTAGTTTGTGGTAAATTGTGCCGTTTTTTGTATGTAAGTAGCTATTAACACTATGGAGGAGGATCCTCCTGATCCCGATCCACCTAATATTGGACCAAATTCCTTTTCCTCTTCTAATCATGTATCCTTAGATAGCACTGATACTTTTAATCGTAAACGTTCGTATACTCACAATGTGTCCATTCATCCTCAGAAGAGGCTTATTACTGATCCATCCCAGTCTCTCCCATCCATGCAATCTACATATGTTCATCCCAATTATGTTGACAAAAAAACATCCTATTCTACTGATGATGAAGCTCCATTCTTAGTACATGTTAGCAAAATTTTTAACAGAGGTTACCTCTGGAGCAGTTTTAAAACCCATTCAGTTTGGGCATTTCTTATACCATAATAATATTAAGAATGTGGTTTGTGATGGAGTTAAAAAGGTTGGTAGGAACAGAATTTCAGTGGAATTTAAAACAGTAGCTGATGCCAACAATTTTATATCTCACCCTGCTCTTTCTGCTGCTAAGTATGAAGCTGTCATCCCATCATATAATGTAACTCGCATGGGAATAGTAAGACAAGTCCCTGTTGAATGGGCTTTAGAAGATTTTGTTTCCTCAATAACAGTACCAAATGGCCATGGAACAATAATTAAAGCCCGTAGAATGAATAGACGCTCAACAAATGAAAATAACATTCCCAACTGGATCCCCACCCAAACTGTTGTGCTGACCTTCTTAGGACAGAAACTCCCACTCCATATTTATTCCTATTATACCTCAATGCCTATTGAACCTTATGTTTTACCAACCATACAATGTTTCAAATGTTGCCGTTTTGGACATGTAACATCTCAATGTAGATCTGCCCCCCCGGTGTTTTGTTTGCTCATCAAATCATGAGGGAATTTCATGCTCCAAGTCACCACTTTGCCTGTTCTGCTCAGGCCCTCATACTGCAAAAGATCCATCTTGCCCTGAACAGTCCAGACAAAAATCTATAAAACTAGTAATGTCTCAGGAGAATATCTCCTATCTTGAGGCTTCTGTTAGATTCTCCCAGGTCCGGAAAACTTTTGCTGATACTGCTAAGAGTCTACCAGTCAATTCTCATATTGGAACTTCAAGTCCTACACCTATAAGAAATCACACTACAATTCCAATACAGCACAACTCATACAGAGAAACTGTCCTTATTCCTAGGTCTCCCTATAAGCCTGCCTCTAGTCCTGGGTATGATAGGGCAGCTCATCAAGAAATTATTGCAACCCCTCCTTCCTCCCTTCCTAATGGCAGTGCCTTAGTTGGAAAGGATACCTTAACCCCAAATGATAATCTGTTTGAACTGTTAATTTCCATGTTGATTAGTATGCTGTCTCGTTTCAGTGACGTTGATCTTCCACTTAATTTAAAACAAAAACTTACTCAGCTGATTTCATTCACCAATAACCTTCCCTCCGATACTACAATGGAACTGTCGGAGCATTAGAAATAAAAAACATGAACTTCTTCATCTCATTAATAAATTTAATCCCTCTATTCTAGCTATCCAAGAAACTTGGCTCAAGCCAGGATCCCATTTCCGAGTCTGTGGGTATTCATGCCTAAGAGATGACAGAAATGATGGTCATGCAGGCAGTGCTATTTTTATTTCAAGGAAAGTACCCTTCTCTTCTATTTCCTTCCCCTCCCACTCCTCTTCTATAAATATAGTAGGAGTAAAAGCTTTTAATACTTCAATTTTATCTATTTATATCCCTTCACCTAATGCTTCAGTTATTTCAGAGCTATTCTCTATTCTGTCGTCTCTCACACCACCTATTGTTATATTGGGGGACTTCAATATCCACCATACTATGTGGGGTTCTCAGTATTCTGATGCACTTTCCCTCATATTCTTAGAACTACTTGATAATTTAAATCTTTGTTTTCTAAATGATGGCTCTCCAACCCGTCGAACATCCCCAATTCAAAATACAAAAAGTGCTGTGGATTTGTCACTTTGCTCACCAGATCTTCGTTCTCTTCTTTCATGGCATATACTCCTCTTCTACGCATGGTAGTGATCATTTCCCAATTTTTGTTACATTTCCTAATTCTTCTCTATTTGTAAACAATCAATTTAGACCTCGTCAAAAATATAACTTAACCAAAGCTAACTGGTCACTATACTCATCAATTTTAGATAGTCAAATTTTAGATTTACCCCCAATTAATAAAGATAATGTCCTTTCAGTTTATAAAGAGTTTCGAAATCTACTTTTATCTGTAGCTGACAGAGTCTTTCCACTCAAAACTCCTTTTAAAAATAACATTCCATCTCCCCCTTGGTGGGATCATGACTGCACACAAGCATGCAAAAAGAGAAAAGAGGCTGAACGTAGATACTCACAGTCAATGACCACAGAGAATTACATTTTTTATAAAAAAACTGCAGCAGAGACTATGAAATTGTTATCCCAAAAGAAACAAGCTGGCTGGCTCAGGTTTTGTACATCCATGTCTCCCAATACTCCTCCATCACTTGTATGGAAAAATATTAAAAGGTTTCGATGTGCAATGGTTAGTGTAGACCCTACTTTTAATGATCATTCTGTTTGGATTGGAGACTTTTTGAATAAACTTGCTCCACCATCAGCCCCAAACTATGATGAATGTCTATTTTTTGATTCTCCCTCAAGCAACCGGCTGATAAATTTAATTCCCCATTTTCTCCACAAGAACTTTTCTGTGTTCTTAGTGGTCTTAAAGATTCTTCACCAGGAATTGACGGAATCCCCTATTCCTTTATAATTAATAGTAGTGAAAGAACAAAACTGATTTTACTTAAATTTTTGAATAATATATTCATGACTGGCATCCCACCCGATGAATGGAAGTCGCAAATCATTATTCCTGTCCCTAAGCCTGGTAAGGCTGGTAATGATGCATCTGGATTTCGACCCATAGCTCTCTCGTGTACAATTGCCAAAGTTCTTGAGCATTTAATAAAAAATCGCCTAGAGTGGTTTTTGGAAAGCCAAAATTATCTACCAAAGAGCCAATTTGGATTCCGAAAAGGTTTGAGCACAATGGATAGCCTAAGCACGCTTGTCACAGATATCCGAATTGCCTATTCAAAGCAACAATACCTTGTAGGGGTATTTCTAGATGTTTCTTCAGCATATGATAATGTTCTTCTTCCTGTGCTCAGACAGAAAATGTTACAGCTGAGCATACCAGTGAAGATTGTTAACTTTATTTTTAACTACCTTTCCTCCAGGTCAATTTTAGTAAATGTTCAAAACTCACTCCTTCCATCAAGAACTGTCTGGAAAGGCCTACCTCAGGGCTCTGTCCTTAGTCCTCTCCTCTATAATATATATACTTTTGATCTAGAGCTTTCTGTCAATTCATTTTGTAATGTTCTTCAGTATGCAGATGACCTAGCCTTGTACATTTCCCTAGATAACATCTCTACAGCTTGCTCACGTCTAAATTCCGCTTTGTACTATTTGCAAGATTGGTTAACTGAACATGGCTTATCCCTCTCCCCCTCCAAAAGTAATGTCGTAGTTTTCTCTCGGCGTAAAAATGTGCCAAATATTATAATAACTTATGATAACCAGCATATTCCCATAAGTGATTCAGTTAAATTTTTAGGTGTTTTTCTTGACACCAAATTATCATTTGTTACTCACATTGATTATATCTCCCAAAAATGTGAGAAAAGAATAATTTGAACATTATTCGGTCCCTTTCTGGCGTATGGTGGGGCGCTCATCCATTCTCTCAAAAATTAGTTTACAACTCACTAATTCGTAGCCACATCGATTATGGATGCTTTCTTTTCGAGCCATGTAGTAAAGCATCACTTAACGTGTTAGACAAAATTGAATATAAAAGCCTGCGTATCATTATGGGTGCAATGAAGTCCTCACCTAATAATGCCCTTCAGGTGGAGTGTGTTGATCCTCCTTTTCACTTAAGAAGGCAGTATCTTTCGGATAGATTCTTTTTCAAGACCTGTCAACTCTCAGTTCACCCCTTAATTCCTAGGCTTCACCAACTATCTGAATATGTCTCTTCAAGCAACTATTGGGTCCACAAGAATCCTCCATGTCTGTTTAAGAGTTTGGTCACTTTTCTCCGTTTCCCCTCTCCTATTTTTCAATGTAAGACTAACCCATTATTTGATATTCCTTATGATGCATTAATTTTTAAACCTGACATCCATCTTGACCTGGGCATTGAGAAAGATTGTCCGATGGCAGATTTTAACTTGAGTTTGGCCATTAAAAGATACTGGAAGGATTGGCTAATAATGTATACAGATGCTTCCAAATTCAGTGAATTGGGTTACTCTGGAGCAGCAGTTTGGATCCCAAAGTATAAAATAGCCCTTAATTTTAAATGTCCTTCCCCTACATCTATATTTACTGCAGAGGCTACTGCTATATATGAAGCACTATTGTATATTGAGTCACACAACCTAGACAGATCAATAATATTTACAGACTCTAAAAGTTGCCTACTAGCTATTTTGTATAATCAATTTCTTGTTAAGTGTAAAATCCCTCTAGTTCTTAATATTAAAAAGATTCTATTTCAATGCCACCAAAAAGAATTACATGTATCCTTGGCTTGGATTCCCAGCCATAGTGGAATCTGTGGAAATGAAACAGCTGATAGCCTAGCTAAAGATGCTATACATAATGGCATAGTCAAAAATATTACATTTTCCCATGATGTTATTCCACTAGCTAAATTGAGACTAACCAACAAATGGAATCATGAAAATTTAAATCCAGAAAAGGGTAAATTTTACTTTTCTATACAACCAAAAGTTCCTGTAAAGCCCTGGTTCTTCAAGTATAATAAGGCCAACAAACATGCCACATCCACCATTAGGATTAGGGATAGTTCTCTGTGTGAGTGTGGTTTGGATGAAGGAACCACCAACCATATATTTTTTGAATGTCCTAAACTATCAACATCATTGTATGATTCCCTTCCCCCCTACATCCCTCGTCCTATTAATTTTTCCTCCCTTTTAACTTACACTAATTCACCATTTGTATATATTCTATGCGACTTTATTATATCTAATAAAATTAAACTTTGACGGATTCAAGGTTCATATCTAATATAACTGTTTGTCATTGTTCTAGGTAATTCAACAGGAAATTACTTTTTCTTTCTTGCTCTCAACATATTATTTTTTTTCTTATTTTAATTCCCTTATATGATCTCTTATGCCTCTGCTATGCCGAATCTGTTCGATAACCAATCCACTTAATAACTTTCCTATATTAACGTGGACATTGGCGAATATCTAAAGACCGCCATAAAGGAAAAAAAAAAAAAAAAAAACCCTGTAACTAGTTGCATCACCGTAATTGTTACCTGCAAGCTGTGGTAGCGTAAGAAGACACAGTGAAAGCAGCAACATATGCAAGCTGCTGTGCTGGGTCAGTGAATGTAGCTGCTTGGTCTAATATTGAAGAGTATTCATAGTCCTCCGTGAGCCGTTGCAACATGGACAGTGGCTCACTAAAATTGACGGGGATGGGAATCTTTGACAGTTCCTTACCTAGGTAGAAATAAAATATAATAAATTTAAGTAACTAATTTATAGATAGATGTGCCACTTGGTGCCAGATAGTTGTTTATTAACCAATCTGAATTAGTGACTTCAATTTATTGAAATGATTATTGTTAAGGTTTGTCTACTCATCATTCTCCTACCCCAGGCTAAAAGAAGCAGTAATTAAATTTCTTGATTTTCACTCGCCTGCCTGACTTTATTAATATATAATCCTTTCTTGGGAGGGGAATAATAATTTTTTTTGGTTCACACTAAAGGTTCTACTATGAGACAATCAAACTCAAACACCGAGATACAAAGCCAACCGGCACCAACAGTGGGTTAAGTTTTTTATGAAACTTTTTTTAAGCCTATTTATCATCTAGTACATTTAAGACTGTCAGTTGAATTTGCCTAGCCTTTCTAGTAAACAGTTGAAATTACCTATACAGTTTTTCATAATAGACCAGAGACTCAGAGGATAGTTGGGTTTGTCAGGGACTCGCGTGCGTCGCGGATGGCCGTCCACCATGCTTACAGGAACTTGTGAGACGTGAGGCTGAAACAACCAAGAAGACAAAATTAAAGCTAGTCAAACTAAGAGTAGTCAAACTAAGAGTGGACAATTTTTAACAAAAAAAATAATAAACACTTCATAAAATTACATTCTAAATCAAAATTATACACTAAATATGTTTTAAATGGCTAAAAGGCAAAGCAATAAATAAAATTTTTAAGATGAATTTTACATATAAATTATTTTGTATAACCTTAACTTTTTGAAACACGGAAATATAACTTACCCATATCACAATATTTTGCTCCTTGTTGTCTGCTTGTTTATTGATATTAGCATCATTGTCAGAATTTGCTTCTGTGCCACCCATATTGTTTTCTCCACGCTCCTTATCTTCTACAAATATCACCTATAATGAGATGATTACTAAGTAAAAAAAAGTACAACTTGGAAAATTATACTAAGTACTACTTAATATAGTAAGTATGTAAAATATAAATTATTAAAAATCTTAAAAATTTTGAAAAACGTAGTAATGAACTGTAATCAAAAATATTTGTTAATTATCAAATTATTGGAGATATTTTTCTTAAGTACTAATAACATAAGCACACTTTAGTCCATTTTATTTATTTACCTGTTGAGTTTCTGTCACCGTTTCACCCTCAGATTCATCAGAGCTTTCACCACTCTTAACTTTATTTTTCCTATTTACCTGCAATGCGAACAATGACACTAATGTGTGTAAAGTTGTGTTGGAAGAGTGCAAACATAATATGTCTTCAAAACTAATGCACACATAGTATCGTTAAAATTAATCACAATGAAGACTAAACATGAAAGGAGAAAATTAGTCATAAGATAAGAGCAACAATGAACAGATACACACTCACAGGCACTTTGATTACAAATGAGTTCTTATCATCCATAGCAGCGGTGACATCCTCTTCCACTGCATCGAAGAATTCATGGTCCTCATCCTCTGTATCGTTACCCTGTCCAGAACCGTTCCCACCTGTTAAAAAAAGGTTTTCGGTCAATGCATTCATAAACATAAATGATATGCTAAATTAAAGATTATAACAGTACATCAAAAAGTCATTTACAATCAATTTACAGTACTCTAATAAATATTTACATTATAGATTTATTTACATCAAAAACAAATATTATTTAACACTAATTACAGCTATACTTTAAACTAGAATCATTAACATTTTATATAATAGATTGAGGTATACATCACTTTGGGTATTTCCAAAAAGTATATTGTAAATGTATGTAACACATTGATGAAAAAAATTACTCATATCTTGAACAGGTGAATCTGAAAATTGTTTTATTAATTTATGTTTCAATTTTATACAGATATTAGACTTCTTTAGAAATATTTCCATTTGGTTTTTAGGGAAAACAAGTAAAATAGGAATGTTGGAACAATGGTAACATTGCTAGTGTATTGACTTAGAGCTTTTTTATAAATACTGCTACTAACACTAAGAATTCCTCCTCTAAACCTTACCTAATCATTGAATACTACAATACACGTGAATTTAAGCGCACAGTGGTGTAAAATTTTATGTTTTTGGTGTTTTTAAAAATTTTGTTATATTTTGTTCTTAACGAAAGCCTTTATTAATCTAAAAACTCAGAGGGTAAGTCTCACACAACATTTTCCTGTTGCACTTACCGCACAAGATGTTTAAATACATGTTTTAGTACTCAAAATATCATAATATAAGACCCATACATCACTTGCGTTAAGCGATTACAAGGCCAAGATCACTGTGGACGCGTACAATACAAACACTCCTATACTATAACACATCACTATAACCAAAAGTTCATTCTTTGCACAAATCAGACGATAATTAAATAAACGAATGCGTAACAACTACAAAAAACACCTATAATTATGTTTCTTGCGAATAGAAAACCTTGAGGTCGTAAAATTGTTTTGATGTAATTGTGGTAAGGTGATATTTCGTACATACCAATGTAACCTAAGGCGTATTGACAACACATTTTATAATACACTAAAAGATTTTATTTTGACTAACAACAAAACAAAGAGTTTAGTTTCGCAACTCGTTTTGCTTTAAATGACCGATTAGATTTCCGTCACCATGTCACCATAATGCGAGATAGCGTTCCGTTTCACCGTTCACATTTTTTTTTTTTTTTATTAGTTTAACGGCCCTGGAATCAAGTCCTTTAGGCCTATCTTACATATGCTTAAAAACTACTTTTACAAGTTACTTATACCTATTGTATTTACAATGAATTTATATATAAACTTATAATATTTTGGATTCCTAAGAAGTTTTGGCAAATCATATAATACCTGTGTATTTATATTTTCTAGTTCGGACACCAAGATTAATCGCTGAAAATTATAATTTTGACATTTCATGAAAATATGGTTTAGGTCAGCAACATCATTACAAAAAGTACATTTTGGGTTTGCGACAATTTTGAGTCTTGTTAAATGCGCAGGAATTCTACAGTGGCCGAATCTTAAGCGATTGATTGTTGTTATGAAGTTTCTGTTTATAGCGTCCTTGTGACTATTATACCAGGGTCTTGGCGGCGGGGAGTTCTGAATTTTGGCATACCACTTTCCTTTTTTCTCGCTTACAATCTTCCAATATTGGAGCCATAACATTTTGAGCTTTTCATTTAACATCTGATAGAAGTCAGTAAAAGGAACTTTTAACAAGGAAGAGTGGTTCTCATCATACTCTCCTCTAGCCGCCC